ATGACCTTCACAGGCGTCTGGCAACTCTCTTATCTTCTTTCCTTTCTGACTGAGGGCGGATCTAAGGCTCCGACTCTGGCTTACTAACACGGACGCCTTAGAGACACATCAGCAGTGTTCTTCCTGGATGCCGATACAGGAGGAGAGGCTGTTTCTCTCYGGAGAACGGCCGGGCCGCAGGTTTTGACTCAAGTGCTAATTCGAGTCGGCTTGTCGGCCAGGGCAGGAGCAAGCAGCTCCTGTCCACCTAGAGACCCAGGTCTCTTAAGTGTTTTCAATTCCCGAGGGGAGACTTTTATTTTGGAAAACTACCGGAACTTTCAGCTGGAATCTTTCTAGCCTGGGCTGAAACAGACGGAAAAGTCACCTGAAAGACACCTTTTCGCCAAGGACCAGCGAGGACAAGCATCCTAGAGGGTCGTTGGTGAGACAGCCATATCAGGGGTTCTTGAGCAGACATCACCAGGTAAAGCTGACGTGTTCGTGGGCGACGTGTCAAGTTGAAGCCTGAGAGCAGAGAGGACGTGCTAATCCGGTTGTAAACCTTTCAAAAATAAAAGCAGAAACACTAATTCTTAATTTCCTCACCTTTTCTTACCCTTTATCCTTTGCCAACTCTAAGTGATAGTGCCAGTAAATTGTTTAGTTTAACATCAGACTGACGTTTACTGTCTATATAAGTAATCTGAGTTAATGTGAAAGAAATTCGGACGCGGGTTTTATCTCATTTACTTAGAGTCTTAGTAGGAAGATCACAATCAGGTGTAATTTATGATTTTGTTCAATTGTGTAAATAAATGATTGCATAATCTTTTATGAATCAACTTGAACTCGTCTGACGTTCCCTCATTGTGTCACTTCACTTTGCACAGACAAATATTAAAGTAATGAGGAAAACCTTGGTAAAATTTTCTCTCATAACTTAGTTATGGGAAGATGTAAGGTGGGCTTATTTGCATAAGTAACTCATCCCTTTGTGAGGATTCTGGCAGGAACAAACCCAGGGTGCAGGCAGGCTCAAAAGTATAACAAAAATTTATTTTTAAATAACAAAAAGAGGGCTGCTGGCAGCAAACTTACAGATACTGAAGAATAACAGGCACGAGGGGAACAAAGCACGAGGAACCAGAACCAACACATGAGACACAACATTGATCCGACATCAGACTGAGACAGGACAGGGTTTAAATACACAGACTACTAATTACTAAACTGAAAACACCTGGTGAGAAACACGAGGGTGACAATCAGACAGATCGGGAGCAGCTGAGCTGTGACACACTGGGGAACACTGAAAACACTAGAAAACTAAGAAAATAAACACAGATCATGACACCCTTACACCAGAAAGGACCTCGAGTGGAGGTGTAGAGAAGACACACACACACACAGATTTTTGAACTGAACAACAAAAACTGATCAGATTTAAGGGCCCCAACGGATACTTGATTTTAGTGTGCACACTAAGTTTTGATTTTTTTAGGAGGAAGTTTTATGTTTTTTTCTGATGTTAAATTGTGTTTGTTAATAAATATCTGTTCAAACATTTGTATGTTGAGAGTCTTTGTTGTTACTCAGTTCCTTGGCTCTTAAGAACCTAGATCTTTTGACATTGGTCCTACTTTAATCTTAGTTCACAATTTTAACTGTAATCCAATTTTTAGTTGTAAAGAGGGTTACACACTCTTTTCCAGTCAAGAACCATGGCCTTAAACTTAGAGGAACTGACTTTCATCCCAACCGCTTCACACTCTACTGCGAACCGCCCCAGTGCACACTGTAGGTCTTGATCTGAAGATGCCAACAGAACTACATCTGCATACAGCAGAGATGAGACCCTGTGGTTCCCAAACCAGACTCCCTCCTCTTCATTACTGTTCAGGTTTTGTATTTTGAGCTCTGAGTAAACACCGAACAACGTCAACGTTTTAACAAGTTTATTGTTAGAAATTTTGCCTGGAAGGTTGGGACCGAACTCCGGAGTTGTCATGGACACAGAAGCTTTGGGTTAGGTTTGGTCGTGAACACAATAATATTTGTGAAAAAGAAAGTCACCAACCTTTCCTGCTGAGCTGAGATCCGGGTTGAAACAACAACTGATGTGTTTTGGTTCCGGGCTGTGTTGTCACGGGCAGCGAATGGATCGCTGGACTTACTCATGGTCAGAAACAGGGCAAGGGTCATACACAGGTGATTAGAGGATGTTACCAGGTTAGAAGGAGATGACTGGGTTGTTGGTCCAGAGATGCGTTCAGGGGTTGAGATCCAGGAGGTCCAATGTGGCGCGGTTCCGTTCAGGGAGCAGGCGAGTGACAATAATCCAAGAGACAGAAAAAAGGTCGTTACCATGAGAGCAGATGGCAGGCAGGATCCGACGGGCTAAGGCAGGAGACATTAAACCAGGAGACACGAGCAAGTTCTGGGGCATGAGGCAAGAGCAGGACAAGGGACAAGAATGCTGGAAGATCATAGGTGAGGCTGATGATTGTAGAGATTTGCTTGTTGTCGATGTTATGGACAATTGCTAAATCATAAATACCTCGTAGTTATTAACTAATAAAGGGCACCACCTGATTTTTCAGGAAATTAATTTATAGATGATAAATCAGTCTCAATTAATGAGTAGTGAATTCTATCATTTTCAAGAACGGACCCAATAAATGACGCACAGACAAACGAAATTTCAAAATATACCCTATATTAAATTGATCCAGAGATAACAATACAACAGATTATTTGGGCAGACAGAAACATTATCATCAAAGCCTTGAGGTTTAATC